TGTCCAAGGGGGCTTAGACAGCCAACTCATCGTGCAATTAAAGGTGCACTCGAAAATCCAGTCTATCGCGCTGCTCATCTCACCAAAGCCCGAGCCACTCCTCAAAAGCCAAGCTGTCGTAAATCAACACAAGATAAAAAAAAAAAAACAGCCGAGTCGCCAGCCCGAAATCTTTGTCCGGGGCAGAGAGCGAAAAATCGAAAATCCGGCTCTTTGATGTTTCGCGTTGCGAAATCCCCTCCCGCCCTTCCGTGCGAAAAAATTTACCGTATGTACGGCAAACCTAGGTACTGCGTGTGCACCGACAAAGAGAGAGAGAGAGAGAGAGGGGGACAAAAAAGATAAGCATCGCAAGGGGCAATTTCACATTTTCCTTCTTCCGCTCCGGCGGGCAACAAAGTACGTGTACACCTATACAATGCAAGTACGTGCTGCTGCACCTCACTTCTCTCTATACTGTATGTACGTGACGGCGACTGGGTTGCTACACGTACATGTACGTGGGTGCACGTAAAAATAGCATTATATGCACCCCACGCTCGCGGTAGGACGTTTTTTACGATTTTCAAGATTATTCAATCGAGCTTTTTACGAGTTGTCGTTATTTCGGAAGTCCCTCCAACTCCAATGTGGGACACTTTCGTGACGGAGAATAAATAAATTTTTATTCCAGTCAAATCTGCAGAGTATACGTGTTGGGATAAAGGCCAATGCGACATACCTTCCACAGTCATTTTTTACCGAATGAAAAAATCGATACAGTCGACGGATTCTTTTTTTTTTCATATTTCTCGCGCTTTCCAGTATAATAACGAAACTTTATAAGCCAAGCTCGTAAAGCTTCATTACACAACCCACCACTTGTAAATACGCAGCCTCCAATAACTATATCCGCTGCTTGCTGCTCTCCAATCCTTGAGACATTACCCTATACGCGTCTAATACCAACCATCCGAGCTTTTTTAGCGGATTCTTCGTCGACGTATATATGTGTCCAAATCCGAGCTCGTAAAGAGCAATCAAGCCTCTGACGTCTATATGCACAGTAGGTATATATATATAAACTGGGCGAGTCGTGCGTCGTGGTTATCGTCGAGGTTGCGGTTGCGTCCCGTCCGTCCAAGTGCTCTACAAACGAGTTTTTCGCGGCATACGAAGAAGAAAAGGCAGATAAGTATATAAATATATACCCGTATAAAGAGACAAGCCGACGGAAGATGAGACGTGTATACGCTGCCCTCCTCGAGGAGAGGAAACACAAGAAGCCAGTCAGCGCTCGGTTTCTCTCTCGCGAAATTATTCTTTATCGCGTTAGACGAGAGTACATGCAGTTATATTGTGTATACAAGCAACGAAGAAGAAAACGCGTCCTCGGCACATTACGGTTTGCCTTGGCTCTTGCGTTGTTCCTTTTCTTCCGCCGCCGCGGAGCATGTCCGAGGACGTTTGCTCCTCGGACGCACACTGTGTAATTCTATAACCCTGTACATCCGCGTGACAAGTGCACATTACATACATGTAGATACATGCAGTAAGGGGGGGGGGTGATCTACTTACTGCTCTTAAGGATCGAAAATGGTATGGGAAGAGCGTCCGGAAACGCGAGGTCATCGGAGCTAAAGGTCGATCGCGATGCATCTCCATTGGGCACTATGTATATGCAGTTATCAAGATGTCCAGCGGAGCGGAAGGGCGAGAACGTGCAGAGGTACACGGAGGAAACGAGAGAAACTGGAGCGACGATTTTCACGGGTATAGGTACGTATATGTACATAACAGACAACGTAACGCTCGACGACGTTGCTCGGGTCCTTGTACTTCCGCGCGGGGCAGAGGATGTTGCGGATGGTGTACCGTTACACCAGGGAGGGGGGGAGGCGAAATTACTGTGACTCTTCCTTTGGGAAGGTCACGCGAGGAGTATATACACAAGCTACAGAGCAAAGAGAGAGAGAGAGAGAGCAGGCAAGCTTATCGAGCCGAGACCAAGTGGGTGTATAGGTGGTACGTGTTTTTTCTATCTACACGTGTATACAATATGTTACGTATCTGAGCGCCGAAAGACTAATCGGCACGATGATGGGGTTCACTTTTTTTCGTTGAGCTCGATTTGATCGATCGGCGCGCGAGTTCTCGCCGCCGATGAAATAATAATATTAATAGTATCCATAGGAGAGATCTCTATATTACTATTACTGTTATTATTACCTATAGGTGTATAGGGGTATTGGAGATCTGATTGATTTCCGTCTGCCGCTCACTTACTTTTTCGATCTGACCCGCTACCGATGGTGATGATGATGGAAAGGTTGTAAAAAAGACCGACCATGGCGATGATAGGAGCACGCGTCCGAGGAGACGTTCAACCGGTTGCGGTGTACATGTATAATGTACAAATAGTGTATGCGTGTTATTCTACGAGCCTTTATTGGTTGTATGGGTGCTTGGATTAAGAGCAGAGAGAGAGAGAGAGAGAGAAAGGGCGGCCGACTCCCGCCCAATCAGAGCACGGAGGAAACAAAAGAAAAGGTGAAAAGAAATTTATCGACCCGTGGAGATCGGCAGCCCGGAGACCTGAGCGCACCTTCTTCTTGTGTTTATATTATATATATGCGTAGCATCCTGTCTATATACATGTATTGTATAGACCTCTTCTTCTTCTCCCTCCATCTATATACCTATACGCGAGCGATGCAAAAACCAGTCGAACCTTGCAATTATTATACATGGCTCTCCTCCTCTCCATACATATACCGCTCCTTTTTCTCTCTAAGTGATTTCTCTCTTCTTTTTTTCTCTCTCTCTCTCTCTCTCTCTTGTTTCAAGTTAGCCAAACTGGTGGGGTCTTTTAAGTGACGGCGCTCTGCGCTTCTTTATTTGTTTTTTTTTTTTTTTTTTTTTTTTTTTTTTTTTTTTNACCGCTCCTTTTTCTCTCTAAGTGATTTCTCTCTTCTTTTTTTCTCTCTCTCTCTCTCTCTCTCTTGTTTCAAGTTAGCCAAACTGGGGGGGTCTTTTACGTGACGGCGCTCTGCGCTTCTTTTTTTTTTTTTTTTTTTTTTTTTTTTTTTCACCCCGATCGACCGCTTCCTCCAGTGATGATTTTATGTCTTCCTTAGTGACGAGCGAGTCTCTCTTTCTGTCGTTCTCGCGTTGACTCTTTGCTCTCAGCCAATTTCTTTTTAAACCTTTACGCGTCTCGCCAACTCGTCGAAGCGACCGGACGAAAAAATCGGTATCTCTCGGTGAAGCGTAGCTTACGTATACCGATTGTCTCGTAATGGGCCAAGCCTATAATCTGTCTCGGTTCGCAAGTGTATTGGTAAAAGTGTCCATTGGCAATTGTTTTGAAAAACAATAGCTCTGAAAAAAACTGAACTGCTCCTCGCGAGCGATGATTGATGAAAATTACGCGGCTCTAAATCGTTACTCCGAAACTATACATATTTTTTTTATTAGAGCTGTATAATTATACATTCCCGCATGTGAAAAAAAAAAAATCATCTCGCGCGTGAGTATCGAAGGTTACAGTCGTATACTCGTATAGAGTACACACAATTGCCATCTCTCGTAATTTATAGAGAAAAAAAAGGTGGCTCTCCATACCTCCCTCCTACTTTGGTGTCACCTCGATGTACAATAATATGCAAGTACACAGGAAAGGAGAACGTGCGACCCATACCCGTGCTAACGCGAGTGCAACAAACACAGAGTTGCTCCGTACATGTATACAAACAAACATACATCTTTTTACCTAACGCGATAGCCGCGCCAAGAGAGAAGAAGAGCGCGATTTCGAGACCAAGGCATATATATATACATGCCCGCGATCTCTCCGAGATCCATGCGTGTGTGTGTGTGTGTGTATGCATAATTCATCCTTCGGCATTACAACTATTCATTCGTTATGTGTGCAACCGGATGAGAATTGCTCCTCCGAACACGTTTGGATGATGATGATGATGATGATGATGATAGGCTCGCGCGCGCGAGTGTGTTGCTTTTACCTCGTTGCGTTGAGTAGTTTGTGAACGATTTTATGGATTACGAGGTCGGACGAGTGGTTTTTCGTACACGATTTGATGCTCTAAGCAGTAGTGTCGGTCCGTAGTTACTGTTTGGGTATAACTTTTTTTTTTTTTTTTTTCCTTCGATCGGCATTATTGGCCATCCATATCGGACTCTGGCATCGGAGATAAATGTGCGATGAGTTTGATATCTGATGAATGGCACCGTACCGGATCCCGTGATGATTGATGCCGGGGGTATATATATAATATAATCTCTCGCGCGGGTAACGTCAAAAATGAATTTTCAATTTAGCAGCAAAGGTCCCACGGTGGGAAATAATTTTTCACGATTCTTCGTACATGTGTGTATATAAGCACCTGTCAAAGAAGACCGAGCGATCATCGAGCGAGGAAGAAGAAGAAAAAAAAGGCGCGGTCCGATTGAAGCGTGAAAAACGAAAGGAGAAGCTGCGAGCGAGATCGATATCGTTGGCTCGCACGCCAACGCATCACCCGAGGAATCCAGGCCATCTCGGCGCGTGCGATTGTTTAATTTCACTCCACACCGCTTAGAGGCGCGTGTTTGTGCTCCCGAAGTAAGTATAGGGAAATGAAAAAAAAAAAGTATATGTAATTGGCGTTTGTGAGATTTTCCATTCGACAGACAGATTACGGAAACCAAAGGAGAGACGTGATATATCGTGTGTATATATGGTTATGCGTTATCGACCGCGTTGGGTGGTATACATCTCACGAGGATGTATACTTTCTCCCCGCGACGGACAATCTCACACTTTTGTGCTTCCTTTTTTTCGGCCAATGGCGATACTTTCTAATACGATTGTCGAAAATAAAAGCCACCCGCGCCTCGTCGGTAAAATCCACTCGAAAAACCATCAGCCTCGTAAATCCCTCGACTCTGCGTGTTATAAAGTACAGTTCCACGTACAAGCCACTCGTAAGCGTCGGTTTAAAAATAAGCATGCCACTCACCCCTGATGGACAACAGCGGCCGAGTGGAGCGGGGCAGGCCTGGGCGGCGGGGACAGCTTTTTCCTCGGGGCGAGCGGTGGCGGGGAGTCCTCGAGGACCGGCGCCTCCGCGTACTTGGGCGGCAGAGCCAAGTAGTTGCGCTGCTGGTGATACTTGCTGGCAAAGAGGCCGCCCCTCGCGGAGCTCTTGGTCCCGAGCTGAGCCGACGCGAGCCCGTTGGGAACTTGCGGCCGGGGCTTCTGCCGGCTCGAACAATCCAGCGTCCAAGCCGGCTGCTTGGACTTGGCCCCCTCCGGCCCGAACGAGTCCTGCCTCTTGATCTTTGGTTCTGCCTGTACGATCTGCAACACACGTCACCCGTTTCCGTCAACCGTCAGCGTGTGCACACGTTGGGCGCTTCAATGAGCTACCATACGAGGTACTCACGTCGCGAGGGGAGCTGCCGTTGGAGGTGACGGGCACCTGGGGCGCCGGCCTCTGGTTCCCGGAGTCGTTGTACTTTTGGGCCACGAGGTCGGGCAGCCGCTCGTCCGAGGATCTCCGCATCGCGGCTATCTTCTCGTTCATGAGGATCTTCCGGGCCGAGGAGTAGCGCCCGCTGGACCGGTTGCTCGACCCGAAGCCGTTCTCCATCGGCTCGACGGTGGCTTTGGTCGGACTACTCAGCGGGGGCGCCTCCACCGGCACCTTCTTGCGCGAGGACCGCCTCGAGCTGGAGTTTCTCTCCTGAAAGAAAAGGGAGCCCATTTTTAATCATCTTCTCTATCCCATTGGGTGAAAATTGAGTTAATGGGGTCGTATCTTACCTTGATCGGTTCATCGTGGTGCGGGTTCTCGGGCGACGGGAGCCTCGATTCCGTGGAACAGACTTGGGACAGCTCCGGCGGGGGTGGTGGCAGCGGGTCGTCAAAGCATTGCACCTCGACGTCCGTGACGTTGGGTGGGGACGGTGGCGGTAGATCCGGACTCGGTAGTCTGTCGCTGTAGGCGTGCCTAACGAAACGACGGGCACAACCCATTTTTACTTGTTTCCATTTCGGTCATGAGGGATGTATGTACATTGGCGGTGTACTCACCTCAGATGGGGCTTTTTGGGCGGTCGCTCGGGCACCCAGTCGTCGATCGATATGGCCGGGCCGATGATCACGGGGCCCAGTAGGTCCGTCGAGAGGCTGCCGCAGCTATTGCTGTGCTGATGTCTGGGCATGAGGGATGCGTCCGAGGTGGGTCCGGAGGGGCTGGTTGGGCTGCCGGTTGGTGGTGACTTGGTCGTCCCGGTGTTCTTCTCGCGCCAGACCCCGCTCGCGTAGTCCGAGGCGCTCGAGGCTCTCCTCGAAGACGCGGGCCTGGGTCTGGGTGGTGGCTGGGGTGGAGGGCTGTGGCGCTGGCCCTGCTGCTGGATCAGGTGGGGCTCCGAACGCCAGGAGGCCTGGTGGTGGCGCTCGTAGAACGAGAGCAGGGCCTTCTTTTGGATGGCCTTGAGCGTGGGGTCGGAGACCCGGTGGCGCTTCTCCGGGTCGAGGTACGTGTAGCGCATCTGGTACTGCTGTTGCTGCTTCTCCAGCTCGCTTATGCGCTCGGCCACCGTCGGCTGGACCGTCCCCGATACCGGTGATCTAGAATTACGAGTGTTAGTTAACGATATTCCGCACAGCTTATCTTTGTTCAAAAGTTGATGTTTTGAAAACGCGGAAACTATATAAATGATACGAAATAAAAGCGTGGATGTATATGTATTCGTCGAAAGTTAACGCGATTCCGCGCCTCTTGCAATCGAGGAGTTTATATCGCATCAGCCAGGCCATCTATAAAACATGCTTGTTCGCTGATAAGCTCTGTTACAAGTATAAGATACGACAATCCTCGATAAGCTTATTCTATACTCTCGCGTGATAACCGAGAAAGTGAATTCCATCATAGTTCCCGGGACATCAAAGATGTTAATTCCACTCGTCAAGTACCTCGGGACGGAATGGCTGTTCTCATCCAGCTTGGTAGTGCTCACGGGATAGAGCTTTCTCTGGCTGCGCTCCCTGTCCAGATACAGGACGCTCTCCGAGTGGTGCCTCTGCGGTGTCTGAACCCTGGCACTGTGGGCTATCAGTTGCTTGCTGGTCGGTGCCCCGGGTGAACTGCCGTTGGTCGTCTGGCTGACGTCGGACATGGAGCTGTGGATCGAGTTCTCCCAGTCGTTGGCCTGCACCGTCTGATCGACGATGAGGCTCGACCTGTCGGCCACCGAGTGGTAGCTCTTGGACAACGAGTGGTTGCCCTGTTGCTGCTGGTCCCAGGGCGCCGATTTCTCGTCGTCGGCGGCGACGTTGGCCAGCTCCTTGTTCCGGTCGTTCATCGAAACCTGCCAGCTGTCCCTGCTCAGTCTGTTGTTGCTCTTGGTGTGGCTGTGATGGTGGTGATTGTCGATCATGGAGTCCGCCGCGTGCCACTTGTCGTTCTCGTCGACGCCGGACTTGATGCCACTGCCGTTGTTGGCCATGATCTGGGGACACGCGCCCCCGTTGATGCTGCTTATGTCGGACATCGAGCCGTGATGCCAGCGATCCTGAGTCATGCCCGACGACCTCGAGGCTGGCATGCCGCTCGACACGCTCACGTCGGACATGGAGCCATGCCACTTGAGGGTCTCGCTGCTCGAGGCGCTCCCACTCGAGGTCGTCACTACGCTGTCGCGGCCCTCCCGCGAGGAGCCATCCTCCCACGAGGTCAACGGCCTCTGGGCCACGGCCTCGCTGTCCCTTCGCAATCTGTTGGATGAAAAATTACCATTAAGTAAATAAAAAAACAAAGTGATGATGATGTATCATTAAATTGTTTTTTTCTCACCTGTCCAAAAATGGGGTGGTGGTCGTCGAATCCACGCTAGAAACGTAGCTGTGGTAACCCTCCGACTGGGCGTAACTCGCCTGCTGGGAGTGTTGGACCGTCGTGTACTCCTCCAGTCCAGTTTGCGTCAGATCGTTCTCGTCATACAGTTCGACCTGCAAAATATATACACCAAAACACATTACATACTCGTTTCCTAATCATCATTTTTTTTATTCCATCAAACTCCTTTTTTTTTTTTTCTCCAAACGAGCGAGTCGTAATGTTTTTTAATTATCTTTTCAGGTTCAACAAATAACTTATCATCACCGGCCGACGTGCATATGTACACTCGTGTACGCAGCTATACATCTTCTAGGGTGAGTTATGTTTTTTTCTTTGGTACTATACTTTTTGTGCCTATCTTGGGTATGTTTGTTCACCTCGCGCCCTTGACCACAAAATAAACGCGCAAAACTCGACACGATTACACACATATACGTATGTTGATCCCCACCTGATGGGAGACTTGCGGATCCTGGTAACTCCTTACGTAAGCCTCGAGATCCGCGGGACTGAGGGTCTTGGCCTGCAGGGATTCCCGCTCGGGCGGCGACGGCACGACGTACTCGGCGTCACCCAGCGCCTTGCCCTCGCGGTCCACGCTTGGCCACAGCCGCGTTGGCTGCTGCTCCTTCTCGCTGATGCTGCTGCTACGGCCCCGCGACTCGAACGCCTCGGCCGGTATCTTCTCGCACCGCTCCATGACCGTTTTCAGCTGTTACGAGAAACGGGACGGTAATTAATTTACCCCGTCCGGCAGTAGCGATGGGAAAAAATGGCCCCAGAATAAACCAACCTGTTGCGTGAAGGTGGCGTTGGGCCTCTTGTTGTGGGGTCTCGTGTACTGGGCGGGCTTCTCCTTGGGGTAGTTCGTGTGGTCGGTCCAGGACTTGGAGCGGTGGGAGCCGCCCGCCTGGGCTACCGCCGAGCCCTCGTCGTCCTCGTTACCACCATTCGCGTAACGGCACTCGGGAGCCGTGGGCCAGGATGGGTACTTCTCGTGTCCGGGTCCGTAACAGACAGCCTTGAGGCTCGAGGCGTCCCGCACCGGTGGCGTGGGCGGCGGCGAGGCCGCGTCCCTCTCGCTGAGCGCCAGACTGAAGCTCTCGAAACCCAGGCTCTCGCTGTACCTGCATTATGAATATTATTTTTTCTGTTGCAAAGGTTACGATCGACATTTTGCAAAAAAATAGAGCTACTTTGGTTTCATTGATTGATTATAAAATTAAAGTTATACACCATAGCTTCTATCAATTGAAAAATGGCCCTTGACCCCGTTAGTTTTTGATGTGATGCTCATTTTTAACTATTGTTCGAAAAGTGCGAGATGCCACGTGTAAAAACCAAAATTGATCATGAATAACCAGTGAAGCGTATACTTGAACGGCTTCGCTTACCCACTGTCATGCTTGTACCCCGAAGCTTTCTTCTTGCAGTATCCCTGTTCGCCGTAGGCGTCGATGACGACGCTCGTCGGGGTAATAATGGTATCCGGGGCAGCGACAATCTGCGTCTTGTCGGGTCGCTCGGGCGATGCCCTGCTGTTGCTGCCGTTGCTGCTGGTGCTACTGCTGCTACTGCTGCTGCTGCTGATGTAATTGAGGTGATGGCCGCGGTGGTGGTACAGCTTTGCCGGGCAGTCATCCTGCCCCGGGGCTGTGCGATAACCTGGCGGCGACGGCTGCAGTTCCGTCGTCATCTTGCGACCGACCTCCCCGCCATCCGGGAAACACCTGTAAGCCAAAGAGCCGTTTTAGCACGCTACAAAGCCATACATACTACAAATTTTTTTTCTTTGGTTATTTTACTAATGCATAATCGATATACATTTTAAAACAACACGAACATAAATATAATTACCGGTACGGCATGTCCGTTGCTTTGTTTCACTCGCAAAAATTGGGGGAAAAATGTTTAATCTATTTATTATTTTCCATGCAGAATGTGTTTATCAATCACGTAGAGGTTGGAAGATACCACCCCAATAAAAAAAAAATGAAAAAATACAATGGAGGGGTCAAGACGTTCCTAGAGTGTTTTTTCTGGATTACCGCAGTTGGAACGCCAGTTGCAGAAAAATGGAGGGTTAGGCGGTTAGGTGTTTCGAATGAAATTCCAAAAATTAACGGAAATTTAAATCACGATACTTCAAAGTTATACTTATGGAAACGGGACACGCGCGAAAAGCGTAAACATCGCTCCTCTGGCCGCGCAACCGCCAAGAGGCGATAACTTATTGACACCGGACTCGCCAGACGTAACGACGTTGTTTACAAAGTCTCTTGTGCCGAGCGAGGCTTCAGGGTGAAAAAAAATGCGTAACATATTTTCGACGGGCGCTCAATCATTGATTATTACTCAGCAAATCGTGCCTTTTTTTTCAGCAAAAAGCGTAACGGTATCTTTCCCGCTTGTACGACTCAGGATTTCTGGAAGACTCTCTCGAGCGGTAACAATACTACGATGAGTCCTTGCTTTTTTTGCTTTTATATTTTTGTATAATAAATAATTATCCGTGTTTTTATTTTTGGCGGTAGAATCACATTTATTTTCGAAGGTTCAACGAAAGAACGCAAAGTTCAAAAAAAAAACGTCACTCAAATTTCATTTTGAAAATGTTTGATTTACACGAAGGAAAAATGTTTAATCGAAAGCATCAGCAACATGGACGTTGAAAAAAAACAAAAAAACAAATCGTCACTCGAACAGCACGTGACTTCGGTAGTTCCGAGCGGCGTAGGGGATCCTCAGTCTTAATGGCAAATGATACA